ATCTGCATGCAGTGTCATGGCTTGCTTGTAATGGCGGATGTGATTGGTGGGGTTTGATTTACCGTCGTACAAGGTGAATGACGGTGCTTTGAATTTCTTAGGTAGCACTGCCTTTGCAATCCGTCATACAAAGGGATCGTGCTGATTTTCATCTGAACTATTTCTTCTTCGCTTATGCCTTATACGGGGACTCTCTTCAGAAGAACTGGTAGTTTCAGGTCGCCCCTTCTTCTTGGGCTCCGGGGATAATGAGTCAGAGTCGCTATCAGTATCGTCTTGTGGGGCTCGAGGTCGTCGACCACCTCCAAGGCCAAATCTAGGCGGTCGCTATCAGTGTTTTCTTCGGAGGTCATTCCGGATCTAGGCGTATAGCTTGTTTGGACTTCGCTACTTCCAAGGCCAAATCTTGACGGAGACGTTTGTTCTCAGCGATCATGTTCTCCAACCTTTGTTCATTTTGCTTTGCTTGTTCCATGATCGCCTGCATTGTTTCATGCTCCGAAGTCAAGGGTGAGGCGAAGTTTAAGGCACGTCTTGCAGCGATAGGCTCCGGTCCAAACAAGTTTGTTGGAGTGAGGTTGTCTTTTTGTGTGGTTTCGTCAGTGACTATCGGAGGGTCTTTTGTTACGCCCGCTATGGATGTATTTGAGTATTCCCATAGACGGCGCCAATTGTGGAGAAGTGGTTTGGAAATACTCTTCTGATCCTGGGGGACGCTTGTAATCCTTAGCTAGCCACCTGAAAAAGAATTAACACTCCGGTTGGGGGTGCCAAAATTAGCACTCCGACGGGCAAGTCAGTCTCTACTCTCTGAATTACTTGTATTTTAAGTTAAGTGTCATGGTTCTCACGTACCTCTTTCTGGCTGATACTTTTCTATTTATATCTTTTCTTTCTTGGGCCTCGGGATTAGGTCTATTTTCATTTCGCTATTCGGCATGTTTTATAACAAACTGCTTTTCACTCGGCCCCTTGCCTAACCGGCTATTTGGCCGAGTAGGATTGGATTCAAGCGTGCGAGACGACGCCGAGTGCTATATATTTCGACTCTCCAAGTTCGACTATCCAGAATCTCTACGACTCCCAATACTCGGCCCCCACAATCCACTACTTTCTTCCCCTTCCCTGTCTATTCCACTTCACATCACCACGTACCCCACTGTTCCTCGAGTCCTACGCACCACCATTTTCCCTTCTTACTTAGTTACCCTTCGCGGTCGGCTCCCCTTGCGGTCAGTCCATCCACTCGGCCACCCTTCACGGTCGGCCCTCCTTGCGGTCGGCCCCTCCACTCGGTCACCCTTCGCGGTCGGCCCTCCTCGCGGTCGGCCTTCCCATTCGGTCACCCCCAGCAGTCGTTCTTTCCACTCGGTCACCTCTCGTGGTTGGCCCACCTCCCAGTCGATCCTCTCTCCGTCGACCTCTCACCACCCCTGTCTTCTTCTTTATTCCCTTCGTTGGACTGAAACTGCACTTAGGAATGGGGGACTACTGGCGTAGGTGGGCCTGTAGGAGCTTTTGGCCCACCACTTATGGGCCAATCCATGATTCAAATACTAAAGCCCAACTTTCCTGGAACCCAACGTTACACCAAGAACTAATGATATCTCACTTCTCTAACTTGCTCATCGGAGGGTTCAATGGGGGACTCCCTATTTTCCGTTGAACTCTTGTGCAAGTTTCTCAGTGGGCTCAACACTCGGGCAACGGTTTGGGAAGCGTAGATCAATCTGACCCATTCCATCTGGAGCACGCTGTATCATCACAAATAAAAACAGTTAACTTCATTTTTATCCTTTAAATTATCACAAATTTTTTTAAACATCTCTAAACTATTGATTTATTTTATTTAGATCATGAGATTGTGAATTTATGTCCATGTAGTCTAATTGAATAAATTAGTAATTGTTAAATTAGAATTTGATGGGTAAAAATAATTTAGACAACTTAAAACATACAAACAAAAACCAAATAAATTGATTGCGAGGTGCAATTAGTTCAAAATTATAATAAAGCTAAATATTTTGTTGTATAGTTTAAATTATTCAGTTTTTTAAATACTTTTATTTATAATCATCTCCAATTGATATATACATAAACAAAGTATTACAAACTTTAGATTAAAATATATGAAAATTATAATTTATGAATGAAATTAAGAGAAATGGAAAATTACACTAACTTGTTTGGATAAAATACAGTTAATTTCATATTTTTTATAATTACACGGACTTACCTTTAATAAGATTAATGAGACTGTATTTATTGTAGATGGTATGCAAATACAAAGATAAAATATACATTACAATGTATACATTTTTTATGAGAAGATGATCAAGTGTTATGTAAATTAATTTTTTTTTTTGTAAAAAAATGATATAGAAGTCCACTTTTGAAATCCATTTTTAAGATCTAATGTTGTGTAAAAGATAGGGATGAAAGTTTAACCGACTCAACCGAACAGATCGAAAAAACAGGCCGAAAAAAATAGTTATCCATCTATTTATTCCCTTAGAACAATTGATACGGTTTTGATTTTATTAAAAAAGATTTTTTTACTCGGTTCGCTTGTGATTTTCTTATATGATAGATCAAAACCCACTGAACCGGACCGTTCGTTACTTTACATCCCAGCCATCTACACATACCCTAGAAGTATTTTGAGTTATCCACATGTGTAACATATATATCCCCCATCAACCATCCCTCACACAACAGCTAAGCCCCTTATTGCTTATCTCTCTCTGTTTCTCTCCAATGGCTTTTTGTAATCATCGTCAAAGTCCATAAAGCTTTGACTCATTGATTTCTTCGATTTAACACTCTCATCCAAATCTGACATCTATCAATCTATGTATGTGTTGTATGACAGAGATCCTCATCCTCTTTACCAGATCTGGAAAGTGAATTGATTATTTTCCGTGGGTAGTAATTTCTCTTTACTTCTATTACTTTACATCTTTCTCTAGAGCTTTTATTTTTTTTGTTCAAAATTCTACGATTTTGAGTTCTCATTTTTTCCATGCTCATAATTCTGCCATGGAAAGTGAAATTTTGGGTCTTCAAATATTTTATCCTCTGTTTGGTTTATGAGAAAATCAAGAAAAATAGAGCAAAATAAATATTTACACCATTCCCGAATAAACTGAACTGAAACTAACAATACCGATATACAATGGTTCGGGACGGTTGAAAGATTTTCTTGGTCGATGTCAGTGCGTTCATATACAAAATCGAGGGATTTGGTTCGGCGACCATTTTGCTCAATAATTGATCGAACTGGACCGATTTCACCCCTGGTAAGAGAGATGATTGGTTAGTGATTATAAAATATATGAAATGGAGAGTTGTCTTAGATATTTTAATAGACTACTACATTACTGAATTCAAAAAACGAGTCTAAAGTTTGAGCTATAGTAACATTATTCTCTATACTCAATATTTCATTGTGTAGGCTCCACTATAAGCCCACAACAATGTTCCAAACTATTTATATCATAAATATCACAGTGAAGACATATGCAAAGAATTAGGACTGGTTTGGCAAGTTTCAAAAAAGTCAAAAAGTCACTATCCTATTTAAGTCACATCATCTTATTTAAGTCACATCACCTCTCTAACACATCACTTCAAACCCAACCAAAATCCAACCCATATTTCATAAAAAGTCAAAAAATACACTTATTTAGTTTTGTTAGATATCAATAAATATGTAAACAAATCTCATTTTGATTTTATAAAATAAATTGTTTAAGTTTAAACTCATAACTATTGTCAATTTTAAAAACACAAAGTGTAATTATTTCATATGTATAGTAATGCCTGTTGAAAATGATTTTCTATACAACTCATATTTATTGTTGGATATACGAAATGAACGGTTTATATTATCGTTGCAAGCATATAATGGCCCTGTTTGGTAGAGCTGTGGGAAAGTGATTATAACTTATAGCCTAACAGTTTCTAACTTAAAGCTGTGAACATAAGCTGATTTTTATTATTTCATATGTATAGTAATGCCTGTTGAAAATGATTTTCTATACAACTCATATTTATTGTTGGATATACGAAATGAACGGTTTATATTATCGTTGCAAGCATATAATGGCCCTGTTTGGTAGAGCTGTGGGAAAGTGATTATAACTTATAGCCTTACAGTTTCTAACTTAAAGCTATGAACATAAGCTGATTTTTGACTTATAAATTAAGCTTCTCCTCCCCCACTCAAAGAATAAGTTGATTTTTGACTTACAAAAAGCTATAAGCTGTATTGTTAAGCTGAATCAAACACATCAAAATAGCTTAAATTAAGCTAAAAGCTGAAATAAACTGAAAATAAATCTTACCAAACAGGGCCAATGGAGCCCACAAAATGAAATATAGAGAAATATGGATAATAGTAGCCATTCCTTGTCATTCTCAAACTGAAACGAGCTCAATGTAATTACAACAAACTTGTGAAATTTAGAAAGTGTTTGGAAAAATGGTTAGGTTAAAATAGTTTACTAACCTCGTTTGAGAACAGGCTATTTTAGTAATTTTTTGACTTTTTACGAAAAGACATGTAGAAAAGTAGAGAAATGATGTGACAACTTTTAGTAACTTTTTGATTTTTTGGCTAAAATAGCCACTCCCCAAACAATAAGTTAAAATAATCAATAAGATAAATGGTCAATTTGAAAACTTGGCTAAAAGTCAACATATTTTGGGTCAAGCCATCTCTATATTTTTGTACACGTTTTTTTGTTTAAAAAAAAAAACTTTTAACTAATTTTTCAAAACAACCCAAATATTACATCAAACTCATAATTATTTCACTTTTTTTCTCTCACAATTATTAAATCAAATTACAAAAGAAATCTAACCAACTTGCAAAAATAATTATTTTAATCAAGTTAAAATAATAAAAAAAAAAAAGTCAAATAACCAACTTTTTAAATAAGGCCTTAATTGTATTTTTTCAAAACTCGAGAGGTCAATGTAAAATCTATCAAAAAATAATGGTGTATTAGAATTTCCCTAGTTTACTCAGCTCCGCCAGGGTTTTGCGTTGATACAGAAGAGAGAGAAACAGAAGAAAGGGGAGAGAGAGAGAGAGGGGTCGAAAATGGTGAAATCGTCGACGACGAAGGACGCTCAAGCACTGTTCCACTCGCTCCGTTCTGCTTATGCAGCCACTCCCACAAACCTCAAGGTCTATCTTCATGAACCAATTTAGACTCTCTATTGATTGTTGGAATGTACTTTACAATCAAATCCCTAAAGAACTTACTATTTTATTGCAGATCATCGATCTGTACGTGATGTTTGCGGTCTTCACTGCTCTGATTCAGGTACTTATCGACGAATTTTAAAGATTTCCACTTGTTATTTGTGTATGTATAGTTGTGATATTAGTGTTTGCGAAAGCTTGATCCAATTGGCCGTTTCAGTTCCTGAAGATTCAATTTTTGAGTTATTTGATTAGGTTTGGTTGTGCTATAGTTTGATATTTCTTACTTTTGTTCTGATAATTGTTTTTGTTGTTAGCTGGATAACTTGGATTAGGGAAGTGTATGAGCAGAGAAGAGATTCACTCGCAAAATTTGCTGGGGCAAATTATGAGAATTTTTGTTTTCATTTGTAAATGGATGGACAACTATTGTCTGGCTTGATTCTGACCTGATTTGACTTCTAAATTTCCAGCTGACTTTGGAGAGAATTCCACATTTTCGAACCTTATTTATAATTCAAATGGATTTTGATGATGTCTCATTTTATCAACAGTTTGATCCGATAAATGATACCAAAATTATCATGCTGTGCTTCTTGGTTCATTATTTTTTACCAAAAACTAATGTATTATATCATATTAAATAACAATCGTCATCTGGATTTTGTCGGTTGCCACGACTTACCCACTGGCAAAGGTTTCCTATATTTATTATAGACACTTTTTAGGTATATACTACACAACCTGTTAGGGTAACTAAGAGCTTCCCAGTTTCATCACCCAGTTTAAGCATGAAGCTACACAACTTTGCGGTGAGAATTTTTATTTATTTATTTAATAGAAAAAAATTATCTGCATTTTATCTGTCTGGCAAAGTAATTCCAATCTCGGTTGAAGCTTTTACTTGTTTTTCTTGGACTAGATTTTCCAAATCATACAAACCTTCCATATTTCATTACTCGAGTAGTTTTTTCTTTCCACATCTTGACAGGATGTTGATGGGTGGCATGGGGCTGATTGTTGATGTCTTGTCCAAATCTTAATTTGAAGCCGGAGTGCCTGAGTAATAAGCATTGCTAGGAGCAAGGACTTCATCTTTCTTTTTTTTCCCCCATTTTTTATTATGTATGGAGAGTGAGTTTTAGATACAGAAAGTTGACAGAGAAACATGGCAGGGAATGGAAATCCTCATCAGAGAGGTTTAAGAAGGTAGGGTCTTGTTTGCTGTTAAACCTCTCCCTTGTTAGCAGTACCAGATGGTTGTCTTAAAGACATGGTAAATAAGCCTTGGTCATTATATGAAAGTATAGTTTTGGCTTAATGCATCTTTAGAAGAACTTGAAGATGAAGAAGGTGATACAATATCAGTTGGGAAGAGAATTCTGGAGTAGCCATTCTAAATGCACTCTCCATACTTTCCAAAATTAAATGTTTATTGATAGTTGTCATGTGCATGAGAAGAGAAATTCAAACGGTGTCACATTACCAAAGTATCCAGGAATTTTTAAGAGTCATACGAACCGCATATAATACAGCCCAAATTCATTTCAAACACTCTTTTATCAGATCAGGTATACTTGCTGCTCGAGATACTTGAATATGTTCTGAAAAAGAGTTCTTTAGCAATCCATTATTCATGAAAATCCAAATTATTTCCTCCATGTTTTTAGCAGATTTTGGTTAAATTTTGGAACTGCCTGCCTATTGACACTGGATACAGAGCAGTAATGTCAAAGCACTCTCCTTTTTGGTTGTCGACTCAAATTGTTGCTAATAAAGTTGCTAGCTTCCCTCTATCATCATCCACATGGGTTATTGCTTTTTGTGTAAAGTATAGAGAGGGTCTATTATCCCTTCTAGAAACGACATCAACATCTCGTTATCTCATATGAACCTCATAAAAGTTCAACAACGGGGAATAAGATGCTTGTTCTAGAAAAAGTTTGATTATGAAGGCGTGGAGCTTTTGGTTCCCAGATTAAAGAGTATTTTCTGGATGTACTTTATTGTTGGACGGCAGGGAAGGTTAATCCTACACTAGTTTGTTTGGAAATTTATTTATTTTTATTTTATTTTTGGGAATTTGTATAGGATTTAGATTATTTTATTTCTCACAAGGCCTGTGTAGTCTTTTTGTATCTATCATCTGTACGATGGCCAATATTGCCCTGATATCTTCTTGCACTTTTTAATTTTGCTTCCACTTTATGTTTGAATTGCAAAACTTATTAGTGCTAAATTATGACTTAAGGCTTGATACTTATGGATTGATACTCATTTGCTACGTTACACGGACCCATCGTTTTCCGGCCAATACCGGTGTCGACACGACACGACGTGACACCGACACGGATGCGGAATTTGGCTCGGACACAGCACTTTGCAAAAGGATACTGCGGATCAAGGAAGGTGAACCAGTGATTGGGTAGATCGACGAAGAAAAACAGAGATTGGGGAAGATTCAGGTGCAATAGATGCTGATTCACGTTGGTCGTAGTCTTTCAATCACCGAAGAGAGAAAGAGAGAGAGGATTCCTTGCCGAAGGAGAGAGAGGACTTCTCCAGTCAAAATCTTATCTCTTCTTACGTGGCAGATTCTTCTCTTATCTTCTTTTTCTTTTACTTTTGATTTAGCTTTTGTTTTAATCAACAACTAAAAAGAATAATCATAATGGGCCAGTCCACACTTTTAAAAGAATGATAACAGGCCTGCCCAAACTTTATCACTGTTTGGGCCACAATACTTTATAGTTACAATATTAATTGGGCTAACTTTTCACTCTTCATATTATTAAACTCAGATCCAACTAATTTCAGCCTGTCCAAGCCAAAATTCTGCAGCAAAATAAAAATAAAAATTTCAGATTTAGCACCTAAAAAAATAGTATAAAAAAAGAAAAAAACATAGTAGGATTAGACCTCTGCTAATTTTTTTCAATACTTTTTGCCGTATCCACGTACCTGTATCTAATTTTTGGGTACATTTTAGCTGAGTCCACGTATCCTTTATTTAGAGATTTGATGTGTCTGACCTTTAGATAGACACCCGCACCCGAGTCCATGTAACATAGCTCATTCGTGACATTTTACTCATACTATGAATCGTGATTGGAACTATATTGTTGCATCTATTTGGAGTGTTGGACCTTGCCTAGAAAGTGGTTACAAATCATATGAATTTAATTGTTGCAGGCTTCTCTCAATAATGTCAAATTTGAGGACCTCGTTTGGGAGTTTCTAAGAAGTTAACATGATTTTTAGTAAATTTTACTTGATGGCCCAGCCATCTGATTTGTTTTTATGATCAGTTAACTGAACACTTTTGACTAAATGATTTTTTGGGATTCAGTTTTTTGTACTGATTCTCTGGAATTTAGTTTTGGATTTTACTCAAAGTTGAAGTTTGTTGGATGTCTTCTCTTGATCGTTTTCAAACTTAAGCACGTCTGACATATGATAAATGGTGAAGTTCTTGGCTTCTTTGTTAGTATACCATCATATTATTCTTAGTAGATTCTCTCTATGGGATGCCTTGCCTCTGCTTACTGCCTGCCCAAATGTCGATCCTTCATGGTTTCATATCTTGGAGTTGTGCTGCTGCTTCTCCAAGTCCTCTCCAACCAGGGACGAAGATATTTTCTGATGCCATGAATAAGGGTTCTTGTAGTGATTCCAACGAGTTACCTTGCAAACAGCTGACCAAATTCTTCATTCTCGTATTCTGAAAATTATGCTGATTCCTTGAGATAAACAAAATTTATTTGTTAGATATTACTATCGTCTCCTAGGTTTCCCCTTCTGCCCCAGTGAGCAATTATATTCGTGTAACCATAGTGGTTTTGTGGGAACATCAGTTGCATCACGATAATCAACAGGTGAAGTGCATGATAATAATTGAAATGTTAGAAGGTATCTTGCGTATGCAGACATAGAGATGCAATAAAATACACGTTGAAGAAATTTTAAATTCTTATAAATCAGGTAGGCCACCTCCTTTTACTCATTTCCCACTGTACTTCCTGTTGTGACTAGACTAGAAAAGTAACTCCTTTTCTTTTCCCTTTTTTTTTGTTTTTTTTGTTTGTGGTTTGTGTGTGTGGGAATTTTGTTTTGTTTTGTTTTGGGTGTGAGGACTTGGTTATGTACTTCATGTTTGACATATTTATTTTGCTGATGAGCAGGTAGTTTACATGGCTATTGTTGGATCCTTCCCATTCAACTCTTTTCTCTCGGGAGTTCTTTCTTGTGTAGGGACAGCAGTTCTTGCTGGTAAGCAGAATTAATATTTAATTTTTGGGTGGAGATTTTTCTCTTACATCTTGGGCTATTGAGACTGATTGTTTCTTTCTTTGACCACAGTTTGTCTCCGTATCCAAGTGAACAAAGAAAACAAGGAATTCAAGGTAAGCTTTCCCTTGAGGAATCCTCCCTCATGTATTCCTTTCCTAAGTGTTACTACGAACTTGCCCATATGGAAGAAGGGTGAAATAAATGAAATCATACGACATGAATCTCCAACACAAACAATATCACAATTCCCAATTTATTTTTTCTTCCCGTGTGTTTTGTGGAAAATTATTCGGTAGCATGTACACATGGTGCTCTTGACCAATGAGGCCGCACAGAAGGAGATGGACTCAGCCGACCAAGGTGGATTAGGTCAGCTTCACCCATCATGTGACTACTGCTCTTATTGGTCTGAGAGCACCGTGTCAATGCGCTAATATGATGCTCCAAGATTACTTCTGCTAAGGTGCTAGCAAATGTATGCATGGATAGAAGGCCTACCGCGCACAATCTCTGTCGTGTGAGTGATGCTAAGCTACAACTGGAGCAAAGTTTTTCGGTGTGGTGGATGAACAAGAAAGAAAAGTTTTTGACTACGCTAATATTCTTTTTTTTCGTATATGACATTTCGTCATTAAATTTGCAGGATTTGCCACCAGAACGTGCTTTTGCAGACTTTGTTCTCTGCAATTTGGTGCTCCATTTGGTGATTATGAACTTCCTTGGATGAAGTCTGAGGCCCTAGGACTGTAGGAATATTGTTCACTGAAATACTTACAGCCTGTTGGTTGCCTTTCTTGTTAGGTTATTAACTTCACCACATAAGAATTTTTATTTACTTTTGGAATTTTTTCTCAATGACCGGGAGTTTCAAACTTTGTGTACGAGTTAAAAACATACCTTAAGTTTTGAAGCTATTTCTATTGCTTTTTGTTTTTCTTTTTCCCCCTTTTATCTTTAGTTCGATTTCTTGTGCTTTCTGTGTTGAATTCTATTATGCAGTATGTGCACAAGCTCATATCAACCACAACATTTGTCTCAAAATCAGCCTTAGGAGGAAAAGAATGATAATTTCTCTTTTTAAGTCCTAAGTTTTCATGAAATTTCTATTAAATCCTATTAATACATGAATAGCTTTCTCAATACTGTGTTAATAAGACTGGATGAAAATTTATGAAAAATACATAATAATTTATATGTAGATAGATATTCATTCATTGCACTTGGGAGCTGCTGTTTGTTTCAAAACGAGCAAAAAATTAATGAGGCGTAAATGGGGCAAAAAAATTACAAATTAGTGGGATTTTTTTTGGCTGTGCAAGTTTGGAGATTTTTTTGGGGGGGTCAATAACTATGAAAGTAATTGTGAATATGAGCTCAAGTTTTTAGAATTTATAATTTAAAAAATGCTATTCAGTGTGTTTGGTTTGAGTTTTCTGGATTATTTTTTGAAAATTGAGTTTTTTGGCTTTCGTATTTTTTTGTTTTTAGTGAATATTTTTTTTAAAATTTTTTTAGATGCACCTTAGTTAGATGTATTTAAAAAGTAAAAAATTTGTAAAAACATATTTTAAAAAATTAATAAATGCATAGAAATACAAAAAATGTATTGAATTTTTGTTTTTTTTTTTTGTATTTTTGGTATTTAGTGAATTTTTAAAAGATTTTTTTTTACAATTTTTTTAATTTTTAGGTGTATTTATGTTAGGTGTGTCTAAAAAGTAAAAAAATTACTTAAAATATTAAAAAAATTCAGTAAAACAAAAGAAAATTGAAAATAAGACAGTAGAATTTTCTGAAAAGAAAAAACAAGCAAGTTGATTGCTTCTTTTTCTTAAGGATGAATTTGAGATTTTGCCTATGCTAATATAGTCAAAAATTCAAATTTAGTCTTGGGAAAGATAAGCATTGTATTGTATTTAGATTATGGATTTGTGCACAACCTTAAATCTTTGTGTTTGTTTTTTTGTTGAATCCACACATTCATAATCTAAATATAACAAAGAAACAAAATGCTCTATTTGATTTGCTTTTTAGATTTTTTTTTTTAAAATTAAAATTTAATTTGGTGAAAGAAAAAAAAAAATAAATATTTTTGAAATTTGAAAATATCTTATTATTATTTTTTTTGTGAAATTATTATTATTTTTTAAAATTAAACAACATATTCGGGAAAATGAAACCAAATAACATGTTTTATTTTTGAACCAAACAAAACTGTTTGGCCCATGCAAGTCTCCCAGACTTTTTTGGCCCGGAAAATGGTGAAAAAAAGGCATTCACATTTTCAAGCAAACAAAGCTTTATTAAAAAATATTTGGCCCATGCAGGTCTCGAACCTGCGACCTTCGCGTTATTAGGTAATTAGCACGGCGCTCTAACCAGCTGAGCTAATAGGCCAGCTGATTAAAACCCTGTTGATTAACATTTTATTCATTAATAAGATACGTTTAATTTGCCAAACAGTCGCACACTCAATGGTTTTTTCTTGCTTAGACTATAATAGTTAAAAACACAATATAAATTATCACATTATTCTTTTTACTTATTTCATATGTTTTTTTTGTAAAAAATTAAAAAATCAATTTCCAAACAAGTCTTAAGAATGTGTAGAAGCAAATTATTTGATTAATTTTTAGTGCTAACACCATCTCTCCCCTTTTAACTTATCAATAGAAAAAAATTATTATTAAATCATCAAGAATTTTATACAAAATTTACTTTGATGTAGCAATATTTGTAAATTATAATAATGATAATCGATATTTTGTTTTTAAATAAAAGAATCATAACAAGCCACATCTTTTTATCTAGACATTCTAATGTTTTTTGTTTTTGTTTGTGTATCAATATTATTTTTTCAAGAGCGATACAAATATGATGCAAAGTGGGTTTCCTTCCCATTTTCATTTTCCTACCAATTCCAAATACCAAACAAAATATAAGGCGCAATAGATTTTACTATTTTAAAAAAATTAATAATAGGATAATCAAATTTTGATACTATATTTGGGACCGATGAGTCTCAATGCATGACTACGTACATTCGGTCATCTAATATGATACTTTACATAACATTAAAGAGGAGTTCGACAATTATTATTTTTCTATATTTTAATTATATAATTGGATTACATACAACATACTTATTGACTATCATTTTTATTAACAAGCACCGGACACCCAATATTGAATATCATTTTTATTAATTGTAGTCATACAACATACTTTAGCTTGCAAATTTTGAGAGCCCACTGGATATACATTTTAAGAATGGATAGGTAATTTGATGATGTAGTTAAAATATGTATTGAATAATAATAAAATATACTCAAATATATACAAGTGCTTATATATATATATATATATAAAATAAAATATGAGTTGTGAAACATGTGACTTGACTTGTTAAAGTGTATCTAGAATATATTACTTTTCATGTTTGTTAGGTTTCCATGTTCTTACGTTAGAGATTTCTTAAAAAAAATCATCTTTCTTCCTTTGATTTCTTATAACAGATATTTAGTCCATCAGAATAAAAGTTAAAGAGGATATTTATGTTCGGTATGTTCTTTATATGGAAATCTGAGATCAGGGGGCCATTTTCTTCACTCGTATTGATGAGAATTTTACTCCACGACAAATTGAACAAAAAATTGCCAAATTGGCCTATTTATTGTGTGCACCAATTGAAGTTTTTTGAGAAATGAACTAAAGAATGAATACTATGACAAAAAAAAAAGTAAAGAATCTTCTTTTTTTTATAACTTTTAATTGAAGATTCTTCATAATGCTCATTCGAAGACGAAATGGTTTCTTTATTCTTATGGTTTCTTGAGTTCCATATTTGTTAGGTTTCCATATTCCTATAGGTTTCTTTATTCTTATAATTGTTTTATTAGAACACCATATAAGTCCTATATAGAGACCACCTCTTGTATACACAATAATATTCAACATTATTCAATATATAGAGATTCTTCTCTCTCTCTCTCTCTCTCTCTCCATATGATTATCTTAACATGGAATTAGAGCTTGTAAACTAGTAAACACAGAATATGCAGCGGATAAAAATAATCAAATCATACCTTCTTGATGATAAAACCTTCCTGGATAAATCACGTGCTTCCAGGGAACTTCTTGATGAACCAACCCAACAGTGGAGTGATATCACAGATTGAATATCACCCACACCAACTACAGTGTCAAAGACTTGATCGTTGTGTTTTTGGGAGAGAGTCAGAATATGGGTAGAAAACAGACTCAACGTTGTTTCTCACTTAGATTACCCATAACCATATATCAGATATATAATATATTATAATATCTATCCATATCAGTTAAAACTGATAATATCTAATATATATTATATTTATCCATATCAGTTAAAACTGATAATATTTGATATCTTGAGTGGTTATCCTAAATAGGTTTGATTTCAAATTCAAAACCTATGTGGATAAGGATTCAAATTCAAATTTAATGGTCATGCCACATGGGCGCCCATTACTAACATCTCCCACTCGCACATGAGTTGGCATGACACTGCCACATCTCTATCTCAATCTCCCCAAAAAACGAACAATCTCATACTAGCCAATGCACCGTGCGACCGCTGAGAACACCTGCAAGTGGGAGCTCTATACTAGAAACTCAATATGAGTCAGCACAGAGACATCAACCCAAAAAGAACAGAAATAGTGTCTCATGTACCCAGACCCATCTAGCTACATCAGTCCAAAAACATCTCTAATCCCTCAAAGAGCATGTTTGACTCTCCTAGGTCCTATCCATATCAGTTAAAACTGATAATATCTAATATATATTATATTTATCCATATCAGTTAAAACTGATAATATCTGATATCTTGAGTGGTTATCCTAAATAGGTTTGATTTCAAATTCAAAACCTATGTGGATAAGGATTCAAATTCAAATTTAATGGTCATGCCACATGGGCGCCCATTACTAACAGAGCTATAAGATCCGGCCTGTTTTTTTGGTTCACTGGCGGACGACCAATTGGTAACTTTGCCTTTGTTGCTCGCTAAAGTTTTAACACATACATGTGTTAATCCCAATCATGTGTTAATCCCAATCTCCAACAACCAATCAACCACCACCTCTACTGCGGGCGTCAAATCTTAATCTTTCGCTTCTTCAATCTAATCAAAATCCAATTATTTATTTATTTTATCTTTTTGTGCTTCCGCACTTTCTCTTAGTTCTCTTTCTTTCAACCTCAAATAGGTTTCTATCTCAAATAGGTTTCTATCCTAAAACCTATTTGAGTTTGATGGGGGAGAAGGGTAATATACTTATATCATGGTAAGTATAGTGATACACCATGTGAACCATCCGAGTCATCCCTTAGCGCACCACCTAAGTTGTCTCCTGGCGCACCATATCATAAGCCCCTTTGGCGCCATCACCATTCAACACCACGCTATAAGTTACATGTGTGCCACATCTGCTAGTTCAACATCTGTTAATGTTCAAGCGCCTCCCAAAGCCCATCACATCAATCGCCCCTAGTAGGCTCCTCTCACAGTGAATATGTATAACAACAACCTCCTTAATTAGTCATGCTAATTCTTTGATTTACATTAATTATGTGTTTATGTGCTATTATGTGCCATGTATGAAATGAAATGTAGTATTGTAAACAGATATGGTTAGGATATGAATTGAACCTATCTGTATCAGGAAATTTATATTGGATAAAATTAAATGTTTGGATAGGTAATTAGAGCCTAATCCATATTGGTATAATTAAGTTTAGTTTAGTTTATATTCATTTAGGTTATGATTAAGTGAATTGGATATAATTTAACCTTGTAATTAGTCAAGCTTAGGGACTTAGAGATGAATTACCTTTCTTAAACTACTCATCAAATGAAGTATGAGAAGAAAGAGACTTAGTGGACCTTGTAGAGAGAGAGAGAGAGAGAGAG